CTTATAGTTTCTCTGAATTGTTAAAGAAAGTATTCACAATTCATGTACTCTATGTTTATTACAACATAGAATCCACTAAAGATGGTCAAACAGACTTACGTAAGAATATGAAAAAGAAGCATCTTATCTCTGAATTCTAGTAACAGAAAATGTCTTAATTTTTATCTTTATTAAAAAATATATGCCAACATGATTAGTAGTATGCTGACAAACAATTTGAGATTATTTTCAAATCTAATTAGTATTCATGACAAAGCTCAATCTCAATATTTGCATGCTTATGTATATCAATACAGATGATACCACCGGAAAATTAATGACTTTGTTTAGTTATAAACTGTAACTTCTGCTCTTTTTAAAAATCAAAATAGCTCTCATTCAATGCTGAACCAACTATATCAAGATTTTCCCATCATCTTTCTGAAAGTCCAATAGTTCTATTAAAGTCCTGCTGTCCAATATAACCATTCTAATGAAACCAGTGAGAATAAACCAAATTTGAAATAAACTTTTCAGATTACTTTCAAATTATGAAATAGAAAACACAAGAGAATCCTCTTTAAGTTCCCTAAGATTTTCTATGGTAGTCTTCAAATATTAAATTACATTAAATTAAATTTGCCTTCCTACAACGTCAAATTTAGTGGACATATTTATTAATTGGAGATTACTAGATTTCTCTATGTAAAATCTAATGAGCAAAATATTAATTTTGCAATAGAATTTACATTAAAAAGTCATTTACTACTTTTGTATAAGACTGTTTCACTATGAATATCTGCAAATTAAATTACACTTACTAGCTAAAATAAAGCACAATTTTGGACCTGCCCTCTAGTGTTGAGAAAGCAAATCAAATTCCCAAAGCTCTTTTAAACAAAAACAACAAAAATAAAACCATGGAGTTTCAGCAACAATAGGTTTTATTTAACTAGATTTCTATTCCTTTTCTTGGCTTGATCATAAGTATATACAACTTCTATTTCAGCTATTCAAATGTTATTAGTATAATTTTTCTTTGGCTATCAGTGATCAAATTCTTTGAAATTATTTACAATGACTTAAAATCAGTTTATTTTTATTTTCAGTTATAGAAGAAAACTCTACATAACCACTGACAATTCACAGTCCTTAAAAAAAGCATGTGAATAGCTCTTCACTTGATAGCAATTCTAAATCCTGATAATTATTTTATTTTATCCTACACAGTTTAAAAGACAACTGTCATTCATTCTCATCATGGATATCTTCACATTAGTGCAAGAATTATGAACTATGTAAATAAAATAATTCCCTACCTTGACTGCATTTTCAGAGCCTTCCTCTTTAAAATCTTCGTATTTCATTACTTCAGCCATAATGAACCCTTTCTCGAAATCCGTGTGAATCTTTCCTGCAGCTTGAGGAGCCTTCGTCCCTTTCTTTGAAAATAAAGACCAGAGAAAACTAATTGCATTTAAGATATTGATTGTAAGTGTGGAGTTTCTTTTTCAGATCTGCAATTGGCTCAACTAAAACTTAGTTTTAATACCATTGAAGATGTCAGGTATAATTAGCACATTTTCAACACTGGGCACTATCTATGTAGCAGACGTAGCACAGATACATCAGCAGACATTAAAGAAGTGTAGCTTTGTTTTTCCTAACAGACATCCATGAATTTATTGATTTAGATGCAGTGGTCTGGTTTTGGTGTAGGTTTCATTTCGATTTTCTATTCTTCACCGTGGAAAAAAAATAAAGATTTTTAAGTAACTCTCAAGCTGAATTATCAATGATTAAAAAAAGGTAAGTCTTCAAAATTTCAGCTCATCTAAAGAACATATAAAAATCAATATTGAAAGGAACATTTCCAACAAATCCAATAATCTTCGTTCAGCAAATGATTCTGAAATTCTCAAGAAATTTTAATAGTAAGATTTTTGAATATTTTGCATACTACATCCTTGCCTCTAAATCTCATGAAGGAAACTGAAGTTGAGATAGGAAGAGAAATGCCTTACAATTACCTCATATGTTAAATTACAAGGACATACATTCCAGACACACACAACCATAGAAAGAAATTTGAGAAATAATGGTGACCTAAAGGCTGCTTAATAAAGCATGCTAAAGTGATAAGGAGTCTGACACTATAAAGCACAGTTTTTACAATAAAAGATGTATTGGGTTAATATGGCGACTCAGTGATGCTTACCTGACTAAATATCTTGGCACATTAAATCATGGATACTTACAATCAGTCTTAAGATAAACCAGCTTTCACATTTTCAAGCCTAGAGCATGCTCTCTTTCCTGCTTCACATACTTACATTTGAAGTTTTAAAGCTTTAAAATAATCTTTAAAATATATAGTAAAAATAAACACTGACAATTTGTTTGCCAACTTGGATTTGCTTTGACACTATTTTTAAAATTTATATAAAAGGACCTTGGTTAGAAATCAATCATGTTTTTTAATATACAAAAGAGAGAGGAGATAAAAGTGAGCCTCACATTCACAAAGGCATATCTAACATTATATTCAATTGCTTCTATGTTTCTATCTGTATTAAATAAAAATAAATGTAACAGTAGTCACTGAAGACAGAAATCAAAGCAGCTCTAAAATTTATCACATAGTATATATTTTAAAAAATACAACAATTTGATGAGACACTGAATCTAAAAGTTCTGTCATTATTTTTATATTCTATAATATACTACTTAGGATTACATATATTACAAAATATTTTTCAATAGTAACTACTGTATTACAATATATTTATATTCAAAAGCAAACTATTATAATTCAGTTTCTATTGTCCTCTGGGAATAAATTAGCCATTCTCTCTTGCTGAATTCTGTATGCACTAATATTTGAAACACACATCACATTTTTAAAGAAGATTAAACATATAACACTAAAAATAAGTATCACTTCCATGAGTCAAAAAAAAGGCATGAATTATTACACATTGAGTTCAGCTTTTTGAGTCCAACTGTGTATCTATGAGGAGCATAATGATGTCATATTGCTTTTATTGCTGAAAATGTAATCCGAGCAAAGCAAAGGAGGAAAGAACCACCCGCAACCCAAACAAACTTAGCGAATACAAAATGAAAAGCAACATCAATTTCACTGCAGACAAACCCAGTCACACAGATTAAGCAAGCACAATACTGGTACGTCTTATCTCTGACCACAGGAGGAGGGTAGACAGATCCTACAGGATGAAGAAATTCAGACTATGTAATAGGCAGAATCAATTGTTACCTGCCTCAATCAATGCCGCTCCACTTTCACTGTTCAGCAGCTCACAAATAATTAAAGTTATCCTGGACAAAAACCTCATCTGTAATGACTAGCTAACCGCCACCATGACAAACTTCAAAGTCAGTGATATCAATCTGAATTCAATAGTGTGGAACTGGATATAGCTGATGAATAAGTATGAATCTTACCCTGATGGTCCATGCACGCACTTCATCTGGGCCTGCAGTGAAAAAGTATTCTAGTTGGAGTGCTGCAAACCCAGCCTTAATGATCTTTGGCAAAGCACTGAAATAAAATGAAACAAATTCACTCAACACATAAGTTGACTCTGCCAGAGATTGATATAGACCTAAAATTATTCATCTCAAGCAGTTAATGTTAAAAGATATTGTTAAATGACCATATATCTTTCATAACATACTTGAAGACATCAGAAAGCAAGGGACTATTTTGAAAACCATCCCTGTTAAAATTGGCTTTAATTATATTAGCCTAAAGACATCTTTTGAATTACTATTAAAAAAAGAAAAATTAGATCTACCCAGCCTATGACTATTTTCATCCAATATTAATTATTTCCAGGTCCTGGGCTATGAAAGCAAAATTATTTGATTGATTGAAATCCAAGGTTCTGACAATATATTACTGTTACTCAGAAAAAATTAAGGCAAGTGAGCACCCTTTCCCCTCCCCCACTGGACATGACGAAAGAGTTTTGGCGATCATCCCTCCTCAAAAATATACATAACTAATACCTATGTTATAATTAAAACACTGAACAGAGATGACAGATGACAGTTAAAAACTTAATTTAAAATAAATCTTTTCACTCTGTCTCATGGTAAAGAAAGGAGAAGATTCCTTCTTTATAATGGTAATTACTCTGTCATTTATTATTCTATCAGCGCAAGCAATTAAATTACTGCAAGGAAATAGTTGATAATAAAGTGTAGGGAAAATGAATGCTAATTAACCTTTGTGTCATGTTCGCTTCCAGATACTTCTGTCTCTCCTCAGCACTCAATTCTTGCAACTTGAGTTCCAAAGCCCCACTAAAAGGAATGACCAAGGCACCTGGGTCATACTTGTCCACCCACTCTTTAATTTTTATCAACCTGTAGACAAAAAAGGGCACAACATTATCTTGTAGTGCATGCATGACTGTACCACATTCATTATTATCAAGTAGCACATACATATTCATAAGAATTGCACGGTTTTATGATGCCATCTTTTTGTGTATTGCTTTCCAAGGTCAAGACACTAACAGACAGCAATTGCTTCAGGTATATACCACAGTATTTTACCATAATCTAGTTTTACTTTAGCACATAATCTATAGGAACTATTTTAGAAATATTTAAAAACTTTTTAAAGTTACAATAAATTTGTTCAGCATTAACACTTGTACCTTAAATTTATGATTTTTTACTTTCTTTAAAAAGTATATTTAAAGAAGAGAATATATAAAAGTTCTGTTTGTACAGGAATCAGACCAGGTAATTTTGCGGAGCCCTTGAAAAATAAGTAATTAGTTCCACCCAGATACCTACATGCCTTGTTTAGTTCCTTCTTAAACTAGAAGTTAAGCCTGTTACTGGTTTTGAGGGAGGTTTTTGTCAACGACAACAACAAAAAAAGCAAAAATACAGACTTACACACTGTTCTTCTGAACCTGACTTTTGTAGGATCATGAAAAATAAAACTGCAGAGGAAATAAATTCTTTAATCACAAAAGACTTGGAAAGCCAAATCAGTTAGGAAACTGATACTACTTGTTACTTGGAAAAGCAGTATTGAGTCTTCCCCCCCACCTTCTGAAGTATGGAGTATTTTGGTAAAGTAGCAATTAGAACATAAATGAAATAAATATAGCAGCTATAACTAAAAGGTTCCAATCCTAGTTTTTAATTCTTGGGCAGGTTACTACATCTTTTTCTAAACCTCATTTTTCTCATCTGTAGAAATGGAGGTAACAGTACATATTATATTACAAAGAATCTAGAAAAATAATGCCTGCAAATAGTAAATATTTAGCAGTAGTTGCTATTATTAACTTCCTCAGATAATCATAGCATATACCCCTTGGATTTTGGACCTATATTTCATATAGATCTGACTGTAGATTCAATGGAAATGTGTATTAAAATTTTGTTTTAGAGGTATTGAGGTTTGAACTCAGGGACTCATGCTTGCTGGTCAGGTAGAGCTACTGCCAAGCCATGCCCCATCCCTTTCTAAAGCAAAAATATAAAAAGCAGTTATTTTTGAAGTAGAGACTTGCACTTTTGCCAGGTTAGCCTACACTCTCTGATTTACGCCTCTGTGTAGCCAGGATAACAGGTGTGTACCACTACCCTCAGTTTAATGGTTGAGATGGGGGTTTCACTAACTTTTGCCTAGGTTAGCATTGAACTGTGACTGCGATCCTTCCACATTCCACCTCTGAGTAGCTAGAATTACATGTGTGAGCTGCTGAACCTTGCCTATATTTAAAATTTTAATGTATGTTATAGTCCTATATTGAGATCAACATTTCAATAGTTCTTATGGCAAAATACCATGGCAGAAATCTTTTAAATAATTAGTGTAAATATTTGCCACTTTTATGGAAAAAGAAAAACAAAATTGAACTCAACTATCAAACTCATCAAAACTCAACTATCAAACAAAATGGCAGGGGCTCACAGTTATTAGAAAATTGAGAATAGGATTTAAGATAGGAGAAAGGAATGAATAATTCACATAATAGTTTGTTAATGTTTCTTATACAAAGTAACTACTTTTTTAATGTTATTAGTAGTTTTTGATCTTCACAATAACACTCATTTCCTTCCATTCACATCCTAAAAAATAGACCAATCCCTGAGATTTATCTTGGAATAAAGTATATGGCCTTTAAAATTAGATTCAAAACATATTTGAATCATCAAATATGTTTTGAATAATTTTCATCCAAAATTATTTAGGACAGGATGAAAGAAAAAAAAGGGTAAAATTTATATTGGTACTTTTGCCTAACATCATGACATTCTAAGTTACTTTATAGACTTATACTATTCGAACACAACCCTATATTAAAATGTTATTATCAATGGTTTAGTAACATACTTTTATTATATAAGTTAGAGTCAAATATGGAATTTAAAAGAGCAGATCACACACCAGATACAGATTCAAAGAAAGTGAAATAAAACAAGCCCATGCGTATGGATAATATAACAATATCACATACATTTTTCTTCATAAATATGGTCAACATAACTAATAAAACTTATCTTATTATGAAACAAGATAAGAAATAATTACTTTGGCTAAAACATCAATTCAGAATAACAATAGTTCTACCCTGTCATTTTAGCAGCCTTTCCTGCAGAGCCCTCAGAAGGATTATTTGCATTCCTCAGGTGTTCTATTGTACAGTTCAGATGAATAAAGACTTACAAATCATTCCTCTACCGCCAATGTAAGACTTTGATCTGGTGAATACACCATTGTACCTTAACTATAATTGGCAAAAAAACCTGACAGTGTAGAGCATCACAAGCTTAATAACAAAGGCGAATATCTCAAAGTGTTGACAGATGATCTTCATAATGCAGAAGCAGAGCGGGTACGTTTTAGCAGTAAATGAGCACTAAGGTCTAAAGGTCTCTAAAGTGACTGACATCAGACCTGCTATAGCCTCACAGAAGAAAAAGGGTCCGTAGCACTCTCCGTAAAGTGAGTTAGGCTCTTTGCCTGCAAGCTTCACTTTTGTGACTTTCACTGTCATAGTCAACACAGGGAAGATGAAAAGTGAGTTAGGTTCTTTGGCTCTCTGCTTTACTTTTTTGTGACTTTCACTATCAAACAAAAGTGAGAAATGTCCCAAAGTGATTTTTAATTACATATTTGAAATAAGCCTTGGGTAATCAAAGAATGAAACTCAATTTCAAGATTATAGATGGAAATCCATATGATATATCTATTAGGTGTAATGGTTACAAAAGTGTATAATGAGGCCAACATCACAAGTTTGAATCCCGTAGGGACCAGTTACCTTTTACAGAAAAAATATCTATTCTCTTGCTACAAACTATAGCTAGTGACCTCAAAAGTGTGTTATTGGCACATAAGGGATACGGAAAATTAAAGTTGAACTCAGTTGCCACTACTAGAAAAACAATTCCAAGCACATTCCATCAGAGTCACTGAATAATAAACTTCATGTACAAATGTTAGCAAATGTCTAGAGAAAGCTATTCAATTGCTAGTAACTAAAATAATGATGTACTATCATAGAATGTCAAATTATGTAAGGCGAAGGGAGAGAGGAACCAGTAAGGACAGTACACTCCCAAAGAGTTAAACTATAAAGACTTTATTGCAAGAGGAGCCATCCTTCTCGACAAGAAGCCAAAGCCATGTTTGTCTTGTGAGAGTCAAATGGAAGGACTGCCATTAGTTATAGTTTTCCCCCTTCTAAGAGAACAAAATAGCTAGTTGTAAGACTAAAAAGGAGATACTCTGATACACTGGCAGGTTGTGATCTGTTAAGATTCTTAGGCAGAGTAAGATCTTTAGTATTAAATTCCAAAAAAATTGTATCTAAAACTTACATTTTATTATCTGAACTTCTTAGCCAATGGTGAAACTCCAAATTCTAAAATTTCATTTTCCTTAGGGTTAGTTAGGGTTGGTTTCTTTTCCTATATATTCATTTTATTTATGTTTTTGTGGTATGGGGGACGGAATCCAAGACCTCATGCATGTTAGGCAAGCACTGTAACAGTGAGCTACAGCGCTAGCCCTACATAACTAATTTTATTATTAAAAATTCTGGTTGTAGCCTTTTCAAATGTACCTGCTTTTTTGGGTAATATTTTATTCTTATTTAATGAATTCTTTGTCCTGTTTGACACAATTTAAAAGTTTCTTTCAGATTGCTTTGCACACATCTAGCTTTTTGGGTTTAATTCCTCCTGTGTCCTCATTTGTCATCTGTTAGTAACCTCTCAGGACACTGGTGTGTGTGGACATTTTGGCAGCAGTCATGTTTCAAAGGAGTCCAGTGGCCCCTGAGCTGAGATGGGTCTATGGCAAAGTTTGGCTTCTTTAAGGGAAAGATTTGGGGTTGGTTTAATTATTTTTAGGCTTAGTGTTTCTATACCATGGTTCAGGCCCAATCTCAAAATCCTGAGAATAACAGTTTTTTTCTTGTTTGGAAGAGCTGAGAGTACCTTTTTAGTATCTAATCACGGACAGGGCAGCAGCTTCTTCTAGGCTTTATGAGTGAGCTAGTTCCAGTACCTGTAACTTGACTGTTTTCCCGTATGGATACTAAAGCTTCTAAAACTACCCATCAGATTAGTTTTCTTTGAGGGCCATCCACTGTAAATTCTATTCCTGTCACTGAGTTTCCTTCTTATTTTTGGTAGGTAGAGTCCCAATTCTGTCTTCCAGTCCTGATGTGTGTTCTAACACTACCACAACACCATCAATATCACCCCCCCTTTTTTAGACAGGGTCTCACTAGGTAGCCCAGACTGGCTTTGGGTTACAGGTACTCACCACCACACCTGGCAATATCACCCTTTTGTGGTTATTTTATCTGGTGTTTATATTAGAAACAAGAAGGGAGCTTTCTGTTTTGGCTCAGTCTACCATCTCACTTTAAAGTTCTCCATACTAGAATTAAATCCTCATTTTATAGAGTCCTAATACAATGGCTTTCAAATTTTGCCCACCATCAACAGTAAGAAATGTATTTACACTTTGACTCAAGCATAAGGTACACGGACATTATATATACACATATATCCAACCACAGCAGGTTTCAAACACAATTCTTACCTTTACAAAGGGACTAGGAAGATCCCAATAGTGATATTTTCCCACAAAACCAAATTCTTCTAACTTAAAATATGCCCCCAAAATTGCCCTCTCTAGCATACTTTAATAAGAGCTTTCTTCTTCTCCTTTTTTCTTTTTGGGACTGGGATTTGAACTCAGGGCTTTGTACTTACAAAGCAGGTGCTCTGCTGCTTGAGTCATCTCTCCAACCCATTTTGCTCTCGTTATCTTGGAGATGGAGTCTTGGGAACTATTTGTCTGGGCTGGCCTTGAACTATGA